CCGAACCCTCCAGGTACCTACTATATGGGGCCCTAGGGGCTCTAGTACCCTATATAGTAGGTACCTAGGGGGTTAGGGTTAGGGTGCATTGCATTGCAGTTCAAGAAAGAACAGCAGTCCTCCGGCACGCCACACCTTGCATTGTTATCGAGGTCGGGATTCCTTGCCCATGGAGATTGCTTATCTCACGGCCAAGATGCTGGGAATCTTCACGATCGCTCTCTTGGGAGGATCGCAGCGGGAAGGGTGTTGTTGCTGCGGCTTGGGCCAGTTGCAGACACCTAGGGCTTGCCAGCATGTGCCAGTTCCGATTCGCGATGCGGCTTACTAGCTTGTGTTGTTGCCGTGTGGTTTGGATGTTGCCACCGCTGCTGCAGCACTTTCCGTTGGTAGTGGTGTGTCGCGGCGTTGGTTTTGCTGTTAATTTGGAAGCAGTACGTCAGCACGTAGATGGACGGATGTTTGGAATCCCTGCGCGACTCCTAGGATACCTGATAGCATGCGCAGCTCCTGCTTGCTTGGTCGCTTTTCAACTGCTGATGGAGATTCAGATTCAGCACAGCTAGCACAGATGATCTGCCTGCCTGAACAAGATGGCTACCAAGCTGGAACCTGCGCATACCACGATGCTTGTCCCTTCTGAAAGGCTTTGCTCAGAAAGACGAGGAGACGACCACAAGCAGCATCCTCCTGAATCAGCTCATGGCAGAGCCCTCAGATGGCGTGCAGCTGTGGTTTCACCGCTTCTGGACGTCCGGGGTGTCTGTGCCTGTGTAGGAGTTTCAGAACATAAGATGCAAAGTAGTAGGATCCTTAATTGAAACATCCATGACACTCCGGAAGGCCGTACTGTTGGAGGGTCAGCTCGTTGAGCCTTTCTTGAAGCACTGGCGCCGAAAGTTTCGAGTGACGCTGAAAGTCTCCGTCAGGACTTCACATTGACAACAGTTACTCTTCAGGATCAACAACCCACTTCATCATAGCTTTAGCACAACCTCCGGCCCTGGCGACCCACGAGGCTTTCAGCGCCGCGGGTCTCGTCGCAGTGGGAGCTGCTGCAGACACGACTGCGGCCCGAGCAGACGAGTGCCTTTGCAAAGCCTGCCATCATAGTATGGGTCGTGGGGGTGGCCCGAAAGCCCTGACATGTCCGAACTTGTTTTGTCGATGTTGCTGACGTGCGCATTGCTGTGCTTGTAGCAACACAGACAGAAGTGGTCGCTCCATAAGTTTGAGGCAGTAGCCATGGTCGTTTTCATTGCTGCTTGAACGGAACATTGCCGCTACTATAGCTTCGAGAGGCCTTGTAAATCGAACGTCTTCCACACTTTGTTAATCAAGTTGATCAGCTCTCTTGCAAGGACCCTGGGCAGCATGCTCCAGACAGCCCGGCAGGTCTTGGCCGTGTCCCAGGTACCGGGGCTGGAGCTTTCATAGCTTTCAACACCTCTTCGTAACCTGATGTTGTCATGCTACAGTACTACAGTACTGTAGTGTTTTAAAGTACTTTGCATGGATATAGTGCAGGTCTGGCATGTTAGCCAATGCGAGAATCTACAGCTTCATACCCACTGTGACGACTCGCATCGCTGCAACTGCTTGCGTGGCCTTGCGTGCGAAGCCCTGTGCACTTGTCATTGGCGCTCAATCCTTCTGATCTTTGCGGTTTCTGGGTTGCGGCTGTCTTGCCGTGACTAGCTCGTGTCTTTCTGTATAGGGTTTTTGTTGACTTCCGAAGACGACGACTGCTGCTCCGCCTACTACTAATTACTCCCGCTCCTATGTGACGACGACGACTACTAGTGCTACGACGACTACTACTGCTACTCCTACCGCTGCTGCAACTGCGATTGCTGCCACTACTTTAATGCTAGGAAGAGCAAAAGCACACACGCACAGGCACGAACGCCGCACGCATGGAGTAACATGACAGTTGTCATAGGATCACTGCTCGTATCCTTAAGGCTTTTCCTTATGCCGCTCTCTTGAGGCAGATTTGGGCCTGACCTCCTTCGAGTGTATCCTGAGTTCTGCTGGCCTGGCGTCCTCGATGGGCGTCGCGCATGTCCTCTCCACGGCCCTACCCACACTGGTGAGCCCTGGACTGGCAGCTTAGGACTTCAAGAGGCCTTAAGGTATGGGGTTTAGTTCGAGCCCTGGGCTCCAGGTGGGTGGGCTACAGGGTGTAGGGCTCAGGACGCAGCGTCCTGTGGTCGGCCAGGGCTGCAAGCGTTTTGTTAGGATTTGCGGTGTTCGAGTTTGGAGTTCAGTCCCAGCACTAGAGCAAGGGGATTTCGCTCCTGTCAGATTGCGATATGCTGAGTCCCGTGGCCGGGACGAGTGCTCACACGCTGATGCGCCAGTCAGCTACTCCTCTCTGAAAGCGCACTGTTCAAGCATTGCCGGAATGGATGTGGGGTATTGAAGGGGATTGTATTCTGGCGATCTTTCTGGCGCAGGCCCGTTCTCATCTTGTAGCCTCGAATGGAAACTGTTATTCGGGTTGCGGATAACACTCGATCTGTCAACGAAGTGTCTTTTGTTCTCATGACCTTTGGCCGTCAGGGTTTGATAAAGTAGCGACAGCTCCCATCTCAAAGCAGCCCTGCGAAACTAGACGAATCATCAGGATGCTGAGTGCTGGCATGCGATACCCTTACCTGGCCCTGGTGGCTGGAATCTGGGTTGCGATTCATAGGGGAGTCGGAAGAGGGCATGGCACATGCAGGTGCAGGTCCTGAGAAGCTGAAGAAGGGCCTTTTTGGGGAATCGAGTTTTGGGTTTGACTGGAGACTTCTGGGGTTTGTGCTATGCTATTCCCGACGATGGCTTGAGAGACTACAGTGACGACGGCAGTGGGCATCACCAGCAGTTTTGTACGCATTGCTTGCCAACAGTGCAAGACTTCGGAGCTCAAGTTTGTGATTCCTGGCCGCAGCCGATGCCGAATGATTCAACATGGAAGGTAAAAAGCTTGTTGCATGTCACAGTACTGCATGCTAACCTTGGCGTTTAATCGAAGGAGGTCCAATCTAGGCCACCGTACCACCTAACGCAGACAGCAATCGAGCATCGAAGACATCCACGTCCATGAGTAGTGTATTCTGCCTTCATTCTGAGGCAGCAACTGCTTCCTACCCGGCTTCGCCGCAAGCGTCGGAAAGCTTCTTTGGCTCGGCATTAATTACGGGAACTTGTGTTTGGGAGCATGGTGTCTTTGGTTCGTGTCACGCCCGCCCAGCGCTGTAGGAACATGTAGGAAACCCGGGAAGCTGGAACAGGGGATGCAGGAATCTTGGCAGGTAGGGATCTTGTCTGTCGCGCTTCCATGAACGTTTGGCCGCTTCTGATCGCCTTTGGCAGACATGGAAACGATACCCTACATTGCAATCAGGTTTGTGGTGGTGGTCCCAGACGTGGAAGTGGAAGAGACAGGAGAGAAATCGCAACATTGGCAGCAGAGGTACATGCGTAGAGTCTGCACCCCAAAAGCTCTTGTTTTGATGTAGCCCTCACCCCCCAGGTACCTACTATATAGGGTACTAGAGCCCCTAGGGCCCCATGTAGTAGATACCTGGAGTGTTAGGGTAGAGCTGCTCTGAGGCAACTGGTCATGCCTGACTTACCCCAGGGCTTCTCTGAGACCACTGGCGCCCCTTGCACCAGATTCAGACCTCGGTCGTCGAACCTTTGGCTTTTGCTGTGGTGCGAGGGATATAGAGGAGAAGCAGTAGTAACGCAGTAGTACAGAAAGGCTGGCCTCAGAGTGCCGCTTCTAAGCTTCCGCTTGCACTGCCCGAAAGGGACAAGCAACCATTCCCAAAGAGGGTTGTGCCTTGCTTGGAGGTTTGTGGCTATGGAACACCGGGAATACCTTTGCCTAGTCAAGATCGAACCGGATTGAAGCCAGCTTCCCAATCACAGCCGAAAAGTTGGTAGGAAAATTACCGGAAGCTGTATCCAGGTGATGTTCTTTGGCGGGTTGATCTTGCTTTGCTTCGCAGCGGTCGGGCTAGGCTCGCCTAGCTCTCCCTGAGTTCCGGAGTGCGAGGGAAGGGCAGACTTATCCCGGCGAGGAGCATGCTAATAAAATATTGATTGCAACACGAGTACTTAACAAATACTAATAATAAAAATAATAGAAAATAGTAGAATGAGCAGGATGCAGGCTTGGCAAGCATCGTCATAACTGTGAGCATGGATCGCAGCAGCACAGCCATCCCAAGCTGGGAAATCTTCTGGAGGCTGGTCCTATGTCACAGTTATGACCAAGGAGTCGCCAACGCCACTTTTCTCGAACCAGTCGCAGCAGGGGTGACAGTAGCTAGATGAGACGCTAATGAATGTCTGCGGCATATTTCATGCTGGGGCACCGCTAAGCCTAATTTGCACATCGGACCTTCAACCAACTTCCTTCGAGCCGGCAAGCGTTAAGCTGGAAAGTATAGAAGTGAACAGAGTCATGGGGCCGCGCTCCTCCGACACAGCCAACCCAAGCAGAGCCCAAAGATCACCCTAACCCCCTGAAGCCCAACTTTCACCGACAGAGGCCGGCTCACGTGGCCTACCTGCGAAGCGCCTTTAACCCAGACCACTCAGCTGCTGAAGTGGAGAGGATGGTGCTTGGACGGCATCCGTCATGTGTAAGGCGTACGGGTACTTCTCTAAAGTAGTTCGGTCCCTAATAAGATAGTACGGCACCCTTGTAAAAAGGGCCCTAAAACAGGACCCTACTTTAGAGAACTACCCATACGCTTGGAAAGCCCTGAACTCTGATCGATCCTTTCGACTCATGGAACATGCTTACGGGAGCCAGCCTCTTGCTTGGTCGGGATCCGGTGTTTTCCTTCATGCTCGCGAGCTGCATGGCTGCCTGTAAGAACAGCAGCAAGAGCAAGAAAAATAATCACGTTAGTAAGTATTATCATTCTTGCTACTTGATATTACTGCCGACAGCAAGAATGGCAAGAATGAATTAACCGTAGTAGCGGTAATCATCAATCATGATCATCATCATCGTCATGGTCATAATAATCTGTTTCTACGGTATGAATGAACACCAGGGTGGGTTTCTTCCCTACTTTCAACCGATGGCTTCATGGCACGAGGCCCAACGTCGACTCTATTTTGAACACCAGTTGCGGCTGAAGCCAGTTTAGTTAGGGCTGAGGGTTTAGGAATTAGGCGGAGTGCAAACCAGTGCAGAGCCCACACCTGCGAATTGCGAAGGTGCGGAAGATGCTGTTCAGACTGCTGCCCGTCCTTCTCCCGGCATTCCGGCAGCAGAATCTTTTGTTCGAGTTTTCCGGAGTACGTACAGGGTAGTAGTATTCCGCCGAGAGATGACTGGGCTAGGCAATCGCCGTAGTCGGACTTCGACGGCATACTTGATGGTGCCCTTCTTTTGGAATGGGCATGCGATATTCGAGGTTGGAGCCTACCCCGCCTCCCAGATGGCCTGTGCCTCTATCCTGCTGCTGCTTGTGCTGGAGCCTCCGAGAAATTTAGACAATCAGCAATGTTTTTTCTGACAGAAGTTCAGTACGTTCCTCGGAAAGCGTGCTGGTTGCTCTTTCAACACATCTTTTCACGGCCAGCAGCAAGCTGAATCTGTCAAACTCAGGTGACATTTATGCGCTTCGGCTGCATCCTTCTTGCCAATCTAAGCAACCGTCACAGCAGCAGTACAAGCACAATGTATCCTCCTATTTAATTTACATTGTGTATTGGGAGCAGTCGAGACTATGGTTCAGTATGTGGCAGTGGTAGCATCAGCAGCTGCCCCAAAGCAGCGTGATGTGCATTTTTAAGCTGTGATGGCCTACACTTGCAACTAGGACTCAGTCGAATGTGCTTCATTGGAGGTTGGCCGGAGAGATGTCCTGGGTTATGTATTGCAGTACATGGTTAGTAACCTACTACTCAAGTAAATAAGGCCCTAGGGCTAGGGTATGCGTCTTCTTCCGTTCAAGTGAACCTTGGCTCCGAACCCTAAACCCTAAACCCTAAACCCTAAACCTCAAATGGGAACAATGGAGTCTGGCCGGCCTCAAGTGCGCATTCAGAAAGCACGGGTCTATCTTCGATGTAGTCCGCGGGAGACTTCCGAAGTCAAGTCTAGGCTGGCGTATGCTCGCGCATGCAGCACCGATCAAAATCGGTAGTTGAGGTCGACGAAGCTGGTGCAGACACAGCATGCGCGTCTGACGAAGCCCCCCACTGCACTGCAGGCAAATCAAACCTTATCGGGAGATGTGGCTGAATCATGTCGAGATTGCTTTGCAACCCGGCAGCAGTGGGGCTGCATTGTTAATGAGTTCGGCCACCTGCTCGGAGAAAATGGTATGCTTCGGCTTTTGTATCAGTGTCCGCCACGGACACGAACAAATCCGATACTTCGGTGATCTCCAGCTTGGTGAATCGCACTCTAGGACGCATGGCCGTATGTGCCGCGAGGGCTCGTCTGCCTGGTCTGGAAATCACGCCGTTGTAACGGGTTATTTTAGTCTACCCCAAGTTGACAATCGTGCTTTGGTCCCAGTGTCGGGCGAATTTTGGAGTTTGCATCGTTTTGCCGCCAAGTCCCGTGCATGTTGTGGCAAAGCAGACCGAAACGCTGTCAGCCGCTATCTCGAACATGTGTTGCATTTTCTGCGATCGAAACAGTTTCACTTCCAGGGAATCAGGAGCAGGACATTGCTGTGGGAAGCCCCGACACTGGGAGCTGTCTGTATCCACCCTCTTGCTTTGCCCAGGATGACCATCGCACTCCTCATGGTCTTTATGGCTAAATGGCTGCTGAGCAGAGCGCCTTGCCGAGATTGAGGTGAGAAATTACTATAGGAGCCGAAATAATAATTAATACGGGAATACTGTTCCTTTGGGATCCTTATTAACTAATCTACCGCTAAACTATGGCTTATCTGTTCTGTTTATTCATATAAAGACCTCTATGGTTGCAGAGGGAGCCGATCAGTCCTTTGCAGCAGGCTGGTTCTAGCATGGACATCATGAAAACGAAGGCATCCTCAAGCAGAAGCTGTTGAGTACGCTATGTCCTCGTGCTGTATACGGCAACTGCCGAGACTACTGCTAACCCCACGCGGTTCGAGGGCGAGGAAGACCGAAGGCGACATCGACATAAATCACGCAAGTACGAGCAAGGAAGTGCTGCTAGCAAAACCATCCGGCAAGAGACGCCAGAGCAGTAGTGTTAGTGCAGCTTGTGGTGGGATCAGCAGAGTTTCAGTTGGAAGCTTTGAAGTATCCAGAAACTTCCCAAGGGTGATTGGGCGCAGCACGCGAGGTCCTTGTAGCTTCGGCAGTTCTACACAGGCCCATAGCAAAGTCGCTGGGTTTTGCGTCGCGGGAATTCAACTTCTCAGGTAAGGGATGGCTCTCGACTCTAGGTTGCTATGATACTACGATTATTATATTATATGTATATACGATTACATTATTATATAGTCATACAGCGGTATATTGCATGTACTATGATTTATTCTCATCCTGTGATGTTGTTATGACGGCCATAGGGGAATGCTCACTCCCCACGGTGAGGATGTCGAGGGCACTGACGGCTCTGCCATCGACGTGTTCCTACTGGGCACGCTGGCCACTTGAATTCAAGCGCTGGATGTGGCTATAGTCATTCGAGGCTGACACTCGAGTGCTACCAGTTCTTCAGCGTAGGAAATTCAAGATCTATGCAGGATCGAAGGCACAAATGAGGGGGTTCGAAAGGTGTGGGTCGGGTGTAAGTTCACACGGGCTTTGAGTACATCAGCCACTGATGCAAAGATTGCTTTTAGGCCTTGCGGGCCTCCTACTGTCGCCGCGCCGTAGTGGTGTTTCGGGCTTAATCTAGGGTTGTTACAGTCACCCGAAATCCGAAACCATCCTTCACTAGGCGGATGGAAAATGCGCTCAAAAGTCCCAGTACGATAGGAGTGCTCTTGGTATACTGATACATCCTACAGCCCAGCCGGGCTGGTTTGACGAGGTCCAGGCTGCCGTCTCGCCAGGTCCAAATTCGAGAACCATCAGAACCAGTCACCAGTGCCTCAACACTGTGGAAAGCCGTGAAGGCATCAGCAAACGCAGACGCTCCCTCCAAGCAGGTGCATGTATGTACACTGTACTGCGTTTACATACAGAAGTACACTGGTCGAACATGTCCTGTCAAACATAGATGCGCGCAAACACTGTATGCGGGAAGTCTTTGAAGTCCGACATTCCGCCGAGGCTTCGTTGGGCTTCACTGTGGGCATTGGGCTGACGGCGTCCCTGCTGTGGCCGCTGACCGCAAACCCTGTGTAGGCTGTGTGCGTGCAGAGTGCACGATGCAGCAGTTGCAGCATCCATGAACTATTTTCCACTGCAGACTGCTCTAGCAGTGCAAAGCGTCCTGTCCTATTCTTTCGGGAAGTCCGGATATCATGTTCACAGTGCGCAGTCCACCCACTTTTCCGCGAAGACTTCTCATTGTGTACATGGCTGTTGGCTAGGTTTCTATTTGGCGAACGACAGGGTCGAGAGCTGCTGGAGGACCTCTGAGCATCTGTTGCAGCCGGTAGCGGCAGGACGTTGAGCGTGCTTCATTCTGGATAAGTCTCAGAAAGGACGAGGTTGGCTGGCAGTCAGAAAAGGGCAGCAAGATATTTATAACTACCGCAAGTTGAACAGATCGGCCGTGGCCATTATCTTAAGGCAGCTTATCCATTTATGTCGCAGCTTTCCCATGCTCAGCGCTCAGCCGCGAAAAAAGGAGCTTTTCTGACAATGAGGCTAATACAGAGGTCTAGTTTTTCAGGGTTCCTTGTATACCCCCAAAGCCCTGTTCCAGTGATCAGGCCCCGAGCCCATTTTAGGCGCACTGCTTGCGATGCTCCAAGACCTCGGGTCACATAGCCACGACCTCTAACTTTGAAAATTTCTAAAATAACTAACGGTTTGGTAAACCCTACACCGCCCTACACCCTCTGAAGTTCAGCCACCAGACTTGAGGGATTCTTTGGACACTTCAGTTTCTGAGACCAGGCCACCTTTGGATCCCTCAGAGTGGTTTGAGGGTTTAGGGTTCAGGGTTCAGGGTTTACTTCTGTGGTGAGCAATTGCCTTTCTAGCGAAAACATCATCTGATTAGTGCTGAAGCACTGCCCGGAGATCTTCAAACATGACTGCATGCTCGCGGGCTTGAGCTATGCCCGCGCGGGTGAATAATACATGGTTTCTGTGGTCGCATCCGGTCTCAAGCACAATCAGCAAAAAACTACGGAAACCTGGTATGCGCACCCTGCAAACTCGCGAACGATTATACTCGTAGAACGTGAACTCGTGGCAGAGTGTCGTGACCCCAGGCGCTCGACGAAGCAAAGAAGGCCTTGGCACATTACGACTTGGCTGAAAGTTTTGAGGATCTTGGGGCTTACAGGCTTTGGGGTTGCGCTCCCCTTCGGCGGCTACAGTCAGGCACTTTGCGTAAGAAGGGGTCATGCAAAAAAGGAATATCAGTCCATTGGCAAAGCTGAGGCAGTAACATGATTTACTGAGGGCAAGATAAGATCCCAGCTCTCCCGGGACCGAATGACATGCATTGAAGCTTCGGCAAATAAAGGCCCACTTATGTATGCCATTCGTACTGTGTTAATGGGTGCTGTCGCAAGTCCTCACCAGGTAGTCTGCCCATGAGCTTGTGTTTGCCGATGGGGGGCAGCGCAGTCAGCGTTGATCCAACGAATGAATATTGACCACAGCGAAGCACGGTGCAATACTCTCGAGGCCCCATTCACTCCTCCTCAATGATGTGCCCCATACGAAGGGAAATAGCCGATGTGCTGCAGGCGCGTGCCATCTTCCGGAAGCATGGCCTGCGACATGATGAAGGAATCGCTCTTACCTCATGTGTCCTTTCGGTGGTGGAGGGGGAGGTTGTGTGAATCAGATGTCGGACGGAGATGTTCTCCAGATGAAACGAAAGGGCCAACGTCCCTCCCGAGTGAGAAGGCCGGTCGCTGCTGGTGAAGAGCTGCGCGCACAAGCTTGGTCAGGAGCTGCTCGGTTGCAATGGTCGCGGCTGCGAGAAAGATGAGGGTCTGTTCAGCCTGTTCATTCACGTTGCGACTGTTCGGCATGCTGCTGATCATGCTGCTGCTGCTGGCTGCTGCGTTCGTTGTTCTAGACGTCGCTGTTTTCGTTGGTATCAGGTATGGGTCACCGTGTAGTCCGTGGGGCCGAAGCATTTGAACCGAGACCGGAACTGCAATTGTCGCTTCGGACACCGGGTGGGTGATGAGTTTGTCGGGACGCAAAGTCGCCCAGGCTCCGTTAGAGTAGCACAGCCCCGAGGAGTTTCAGAGGCACAGGAAGAGCTGAAGCACACATGACCCTAACCCCCCAGGTACCTACTATATAGGCTAGAGCCCCTAGGGCCCCATATAGTAGGTACGTGGGGGGTTAGGGTTACATACTTGATTCAGAAGGCCTGCCTGCTGCGAGTGCTAAGGTTGGGCCAAGCTGTCGGGACCCCAGCGCAGCGGCCGGGGTTTGAGGGAATCTACCCACAGGCCCCTTAGTAGTTCCTTTTTGGGATTACCTTACAGGATTCTAAATATGAACCCCACAAAAGGAACTACTACGGGGCCTGTGGGTAACTCCCACTCGATTGTATTCTCGTCTCTCACCTGCTTGAGACGTAACCATTGGAGCATGGGTGGGCCTGAAATAGAAGAACAGCTACTTACGTCTGTCAGTCCTGTTCTAGGATGGCATGTTGTTGTAATTAGAGACAGTGTTCTCAGATGTATAGTAGTATAGTCGATGCTCTAGTGCCCGAAGTTTCCCTCTGCCCAACACAGTCGTCGATGAAGTTATCGAGGGCAGATGTCCTGAAGTCATGCCAGGCCTAAACCCTAAACCCTAAACCCTAAACCCTAAACAATAAGGATAGTTCTCCAATGCAGCACGTGGGTCGCACGGCAAAGGTCCTAAAGTTTGCACCTATGAGAGGGACCTTAAGCGAATCCGAATGTGAGAGCGTACCCATAGGCCCCATAGTAGTTCCTTTTTGGGGTTCATACTTAGAATCCTATAAGGTAATCCCAAAAAGGAACTACTACTATGGGGCCTATGGGGAAAGAGAGCTCTCCTCTGCGACTCGTGCGAGGTCCAAGATGCCACAGAAGCACAGTACCTCTTCCAAAAGGAGAAGGACCGAAGGCACCACAGCTGCAGAAAGCTGTGAGCTGTGATTCGCTGTAAGTTTGCCCTACCTTTCAATCATGTCCTCAGCTCCCAAGCTAGAATGCGATTTTTGCAGGTGGGGGCGAAACGCCCCAGGGAACGTATGGTCTTTTTAAGCACGTTCCCCCAGATGAATTTCGCAAGTGTATGCAGGAGGAACAAAGCGGCTTGTGAATCTAAAGTGGCAGATGGATGCAAGCGTGCCTTTGAGACCCTGCCAAGGTGGGAGACCAAAGCGCTGCATGATGTTGCCGAACTGCAGGCGGTACTTCGTAGCAGATCGTGCCGACCAGACCAGGACCAGGAGGAAGAAATGTAGTAATGTGATGTAGTGAAGTGCTCGAACTCGGCGGCTCGCAATTGCATCCGTCGCAGTGCAAGCCGAGCTCGGACTCAGATGCGAAGTGCTTCAACAGTGCGGTCAGACGTGGAACGAGCCTCACAACCGTCCAGTAGGCCAAGAAAGCACAACAGTCATTCAACGGTGCATTTTAAATGTCAGAATCTGCAGCTTCCCACCGCGATTGGATTCGTTTCACTGGAACGCGGTCAAGTTCAGACACATGCTGTTTGAGCAGGCAATGAGAGAGAACTTTCCCGCTGCCATGAGAGTCGCGGCCTCGTTGGGAAAGTGGGACTCAGCAGATTGATGTTTCCATCTTCGCTAGGCCCAAGCCGGCCCTAGCCAGAGCTATACATGTCTGAATCCTCACTCCTCTCAAACCCTCATGCTCGCCCTCGCACCATGCTTTCTCTCGCCCTCTGTTTCTGCGTCACTGTTGCTTTCCGCACTGTCCGTTTGTTTGAGTCCGTCCGTTCGTTTGTCTCTCTCCCTCTCTCTGTCTCTTCCCCTTCTCTCACTGCATTGCTGTTTCCGCATTGTCTGTCTGCTGTAGTGTTTCAGCTCTCGCTCCTTATCCTTGATCTCGCTCTCTTCCTCTTTGACACTAGTTACTAGTTTCTCTTTGTCCGATCTCTGTCTCTCTCTCTTGTCTGCTCCGCTCCCAACTACCATCCCGTTTTCGTTGCGGCATGAAGGCAGCAAAGAAGGCGGAGCAACTGGTACAGGCTCGCAGGGAAGCGACGTGCGGCTGCAGTCTGACGCGCTCACACCCTCGGCCCGACTCTGATATTGCTTGTCAAAGACTGCATTAAACTTCCCGCTTTGGTGGAGACCCCCTCGGAACGTATGAAATAGCACATGGAAGCAATGATGGAACGGCAGATCGACAGCAAGTGATTCCTCAGCATGCCCTCGGCTGTACCAGGGTCGAGAGCTCGTCCATTTGAGGGCCGCATTCAGGTTTTTCTACTACCAACTACCAGCATCATTGAAATAAACGCCTTGAAGGGAGCGCTTGCTGAGAATTTATCCAGCAACATCTGCTACATTCACTCTTACTTAACTAACCTTGTAACCTCGCTGGTGCGTCGATTCGATTGCCCTCCATGTGGACAGACGAAAGCAGGAGACCACGGACAAGTCCAACATTGCTGCCGTGCTGTCTACAGTAGCCGGGGGCCTTTGCTCGGAAAGTTGTTTTGAGGTTTCAGTCCTCTTGAGGATTCTTTTGGTTGGGGCTTTCATCTCTAGGCTCAACTTCTATGTCGCTAACTAGATGGCTTAGACCTGGCTTAGACGAACCCTGCTGTGTATTTCAATTCGAAGGATTTCCAAGATTGGGCCCGCCACTCCTGAGCCTTCAATGCGAAACCTAGACCCTAAACCGGGTTGTTCGTAGGTAGTTGTACTTGGTGTAAAACAGGCCACAGCCTCAGCCAACCCTGGCGTTCGACCTAACTGACAGGCTGCTGGAAAAGAGGTGTCAAAAACAAAACCCCCAAAACATGCATTTGGCATGGTAAGAACCCTGAAAACCCTAAAAACATGCATTTGGCATGGGGCCGCGAGAGGGTGCGTGAGCAAAAACAAAGCCGGGCTGTTTGGCTCAAAGGCTCCTGCGCCCCGTCCGGTCCCCTCCGGGGTCCATTTAGCATCTCAGAGATGATACATGCCAGAAGTCCCTGGCGAAGCAGGCCCGACCTTAGGGTTCAGGGTTTGGGATTGAGGGTGCAGGTTCTAGGGTGTAGAGGAGTGTGAGGTCGTCATTTGCGAGGAATCCGCATCAATTGGAGATACAGTCCCCGTGGTGCACCTGAAGGCTTTTCAAGTATTTGCAGACCCCTAAACCCTAAACCCCTGTCTTCCTGAGTCGTTGACACCAGCAGGGCTCAGGTGTTTGACGTGGGTGCGAGTGACCAAACCTTTTCTCGCCAAGCGAGATCTGCGCATGTCCTTCACCTAGCATCCCATC